GAGAGGAGAGAGAGAGAGAGAGGAGAGAGAGAGAGAGAGAGAGAGAGAGAGAGAGAGAGAGAGAGAGAGAGAAAGAAGAGAGAGAGAGTTGAGAGAAATATAATATGAAAGAAAGACTGATAGATAGTTGAATAGAATCATAGATATCTTAATAGTTAGATAGATAGATTGATATAGATATAGAGAAACAGATAGATTGATAGATAGGTAGACAGATGAATTTATAGATAGATGCATAGAGAAATGTTTAGAAAATATATATGTATATTAATATGTATACATACATACATACATACACACATACATACATAATATATATATATATATATATATATATATATATATATATATATATATATTATATATATATATATATATATATATATATATATATATAATATAGAGAGATAGAGACGAGAGAGAGAGAGAAGAGAGAGAGAGAGAGAAGAGAGAGAGAAGAGAGAGAGGAGAGAGAGAGAGAGAGAGAGAGAGAGAGGAGAAGAGAAGACAGGAGAGAGACAGAGAGAGAGGAAGAGAGAGAGAGAGAAGAGAGAGAGAGAGAGAAGAGAGAGAGAGAGAGAAGAAGAGAGAAGAAGAGGAGAGAGAGAGAAGAGAGAGAGAGAGAGAGAGAGAGAAGAGAGAGAGAGAGAGAGAGAGAGAGAGAGAGAGAGAGAGAGAGAGAGAGAGAGAGAGAGAGAGAGAGAGAGGAGAGAGAGAATGAGAGAGAGAGAGAGAAGAGAAGAGAGAGAGAGAGAGAGAGAAGAGAGAGAGTTAGAGAATGAGAGATAGAGAGAGGGAATGAGAGAGAGAGAGAGAGAAAGACAGACAGACAGAGAGAGAAACAGACAGACAGACAGACAGAGAAACAGACAGACAGACAGAGAAACAGATAGACAGGCAGAAGAGAGAGAGAAAGACAGACAGAGAGAGAGAGAGAGAGAGAGAGAGACAGAGAGAAACGCAGAGAAATAGAGTCAGATAAACAGATCATTTCTACAAAAAGCAAACCAAGTGACTTATTACAACATTAAATATCGGAAACATACTTCATCAGCGAAAGCCTTTTTTTACCCAGGGATCTGTGTATTGCTAAGTGTAACGCACGGAAGCGAGAAACACGGAAGTAAACATTGTGAGTTCAACGACTTAGGTGTGATAAATGAACATTATGAACTGAATCTTCTTTCCAAGTTATTTTTCTTTTTTTCTGTCTTCTTTCCCCCACTTGTTCTGAGCATAAGGAAGGGTGTGTGTTCATTTAGATTGACCTTTTGGCATGATCTGTTTATTTTAATTAGCTTGTCTCGGTCTGTGACGTGTGCGAAATGAGATAATTCGCGTCAGAGGAATCAGAGCTACACTTGAGCAGTTGTTCAGGATACTTACCACAGAGTGTGTTAGTAAGAGTCTTGCGTATCGTGTGTCCTACGTTGTGGCCGATATCACAAATCACACTAGTAGAGGTGTATATTGTATCTATAATGTATTGTATTGAATGATCTTTCTGTGGAGGTAACAGAGGGCGAATGTATATTTCCTTGCACTTTCCCAATGTATGTAGATCGAGTTAAAAGCACCTTCCTCCTTCCGGTCAGCTCGTCATCCGGTTCCTCGGCGCTCGGAGTCCAGGGCCGAACGAGCGCCGCCTCACGCGAACGGGGCCTGGCTGGCACGGGCATCAACAGGCGCGTCCGTGCGAGCCCCCGCCATCACTGTCGCCTTCGTGGGCTGGGCGAGGGCGAGAGCGGAGCAAGGTGTGGCGTCGCACGTGCCAGGTGAGGGGACTCGTGGCAGCGACCCGAGCGAGCGAGTGGCACGACCCCGGACCGGCTGCCGGGCGAGCGAGCGAGTGAGCGCGAGGGGAGACTGAGCCACCGACACCAGGCACCGCTGTGGGAGCTCCCGCAGGACTGAACTGTGAGTGGCTCTTGCTCGCTTATATCCACGAGGCAGTGCCAGGCACCACATGCGTAGAGAGGGCCACTCGCGTTGCCTCCTAGTACCCTCCTCCCACGCCCATTCATGCTGTGGATACGCCTGTGTTGGTCGGGCGTGGAGCTGCGAGCATGACTGGGGCGAGCATGAGCGACTTGAGAAGGGAATGCTCCAGCGAAACGGGAAAACCTTTTTTAAAAAGCACTTTGACTTCATTTCCCTCCTGCTTTTTTACTTCATTTCCCTCACGTTTTTTTTTTCTTTTTTTTTTATTGCTTCATTTCCCTCCCGCTTCTAATGTCCCCAAATGAAGCATAACCTTCTAAACTCCTTGTAACTACTGAATCCAAACGCCTTTGTCATGCTAATTCTGGAGATAACTAGATCTATTATATATTCTTTTATGTCGTCTCATTAACAGGTTTGTTTTTTATTACATGCCTTTGAAAAGTCAGCTTCAAATTTGTCAAGGTTTTGATACATTTTAACGAGGGTTACTTACCTTTGTTATCATAAACTTTCCTGTGAAAAGGGAAACAACTGTTTTACGGCAGTCCTTAACACT